AAATAAATGAAATATAAATCGCAGCAGGGTTACAGATACATTAGTGTTACAATTAGCATCAAGCTACATAAAGACAATTTTTAAGATTGAATATTAATTGAATGTTTTATGTCTCACGTTTCACAATTTCTTAATTTGTGTTTCAAAGGGTTTGGAGCAACATGAGGGTGAGTAAAGGTTAAAGAAATGCAAAAAGGTGTACACATCCAAAAGACACAAAATTGAGTCCAGGTGAAGGACAAAAAAAGTAACATAATAAAAAAAATAGTGTACAGAAGTTACAGCTCCTATATATATATATATATATATATATATATGTGTGTGTGTATAACTTTATAATAAGGTTCCATTTGTGAACATTAGTTCACAAATTAAACTAACATTAGTTGACAATTAAAAATCATTCTACAGCATTTATTAATCCAAGTTAATTTTGATTCCAACATTTACTAATACATTATTAAAATGAAAAGTTGTACATACTAATGTTATTTAACGGACCTGAGCTAACATGGACTAACAATGGACAGCTGTATTTTTATTAACTAACATTAACAAAGATTAATAAATACTGTAACAAATGTATTGTTCATTGTTAGTTATTTCATTAAATATAGTTAATAAATGGAACCTTATTGTAAAGTGTTACTTTTTTTTTCTTTTCCAAAATAGCGCAACGTTTTGAATTGGACATCTCTCTGGTCAAAACTTTGTGCTGTTTTGGGACTTTATTTATTTAGGCAAATTTAGGAAGATTCTTTAGGAAGATTTTTATTCCTAAGAATCTTTCACAAATCTGACCTGTGCTCCTCCTTCAATGTACTGTAAGCCTATGTGGTTCTTGATTTATCATCCACCAGGAAGTCTGATCGTTTACAAAAGTAACCGTACACTTCTCCTCAACCTGCAACTATCATTTGAGCTATTAGTCATTTTTGTAGCACAAATGGTAGCACAATACCCATTCATGTTCAAAATAAACGAAAATAAAAGAGCATATTTACGGTTTATGGATGCTGAAAAAATGGACAACCAGAACCAGCAATCAGAACCATGATGATATGTTTATGGACGTCATACACAAATCTCCATCAGTTGAATTTGGTATACTTCCATTACTTTCTGTGAGGGGGAAACGAGATAATGAGAGGTTGCAAACTGATTTACATGGGCTGCAGTCCTGAGGTCATGGAGCAGTAATGTGATTTTACTCTGGCATTCTGTAGGTGTATGACTATGATAACCACATCAAGTAGACCTGTGTTTGGTGGGCGACCAATTGTCTGTGGCTCCGGATTTTAATCGGTTTGCTTAGACTACCATTTAAAAGCAGATCCAAGCTTGCTTTAATCCCTCCATCCACTTCTGCTCGTATTCAGAGATGACTGACTGCTCACTCCTCCTGTTACGGTCAATAGGATCGGTAAGTCCTTGTAAAGCAGTGTGGGCTTTTGCTGTTATTCTTTTTAAGTCTAAGACTACCTTCCCTCTAAGTCCATCTTTCTTAGCAGACAGACGTAAGAAATATAACCGAGGAATTTTCCTGTTTCCAACTTCAGGTAACCATTACGTGTTCTCAACAAGCCACAAAGGAACAAGTGGTATGTGTATGTATGCATGCATGTATATATGTGTGTATATATATCTCCTGTCTGAAGAAGCGTCATGACAACACAAGGAATGTGTTCATAGTTTTCAGCTGTGCAGCATCCAAGAGAGGATGCAAAGTCATCCACACTCTGTGATGACTTTACTGGCTGTGATTTTGTTGCATCACGCCTGGCAAGGAAACAGTATAAAGGGGCATTACAAAGTGCCCAAAGTCATTGATTTTCAAAGAGTGATGGTGATTTCAGTTGAGTGACTGAAACCTTTGGTAAGTTGAAAACTTAGTAAATTATCAGCAGCATTTAACTAAATATTTTGCTGCTAAAAAGAAGATGCAGGAACTTAAATGATATGTTCAGCCAAAAATCTGTATGATGTTTGTTCATTTTTGGAACAAATATTTTTTTTATTATTCTCTTATATCTTTGATTAATGGACATTCATAGAGCACATCAAATATGCTAAACGGAAGCTCAACCGTGCTTGATTGAAACAAAAGAATCAATTAGGGTTTGTTCTTGCGTCAAGCAAGCACATTTGAGCTGCTTTTCATATTTGATATGCTCTCCGTGTCATCATATAAAACAAGAATTCCTGCTTGATTCATGTGGATTACTTTTATAACGTCCTTATGTACTTTTTAAAGCTTTAAAGTTTTAGTTACATGGACTTTCAGTGGATAGACAAAAATGATGAGAGAATATTAAAAAATAGCTTCATTTGTTTCACAAAGATATACAAAAGTCTTATGGGTTTAGAATGACGTGAATGATGAAAGCATTTTCAATTTTGGGTGAACTACCCTTTTAAATGAATTAATCAGTCATTGGTGAATATAGTTTTTGCTCAGTAAATCATTAATATACATGAACTTGCAAACACCACAGATTCAATAAAAAGTTAAATATGAGAAAGAGGACAGCTTAGGAAAGCATGTTTGAATATTGCCTCAGTTCATTCAGTCGTAACGCTGTCACACTTTTTGGTCACAATACACCTTACTAAAATTGGCTGTTACTGAAAAAGCTACAGTATTTGGAAAATAGTTCAATTACTGTTTGTAGTCTTGCTACTTTTAGTTGCTCCCCAACACAGCGCTGCAGGAATTCTATATTTTTGAAGGTCAAAACCAGGAAATGTAGCATTTTAGCACTTCCAGTTCCATCGTCTTTAAGTCAGTGGGTTTTTTTAAGGTTTTACTTGTCATGAAGAAGGCTTTCACAGTTTTCCACTTTCAAAACATCATGCTCCTGCAAATTGTAACAAATTTCAAGCTAAGTGTTTGTTAGATAAAGACTGTTGTCAGAAGTCTGTGTGACGTTTATGTGTACTTCTGGAGATTGTATTTAGGCTTCAAACATCCTATAAAATCATTTGTGAAGATCATCATGAGGAACAACTTGTCTAAGAATCCCAGACTTTTGTTGGTCACAGAGCTTAGTTTCTGCAATAATCCAAAAGCCAATGGAAAAACCATACTGGCTGTTTTTGAGGGAACCAGTGTGATGCAACTTCTGGGACGGCTTACAAAAATACTGTCCTCATTAGCATCAATGTCATTAGCAATTTTAAGCTTATTGTATAGCTAACTAATTTTTCAAAAGTGTAACTTAACTACAACAGGAGTAAAAATGAAAATAAAACCTTTCTGGCTTGGTGTTGTTGAAGGGGTTCTTGTGTCTTACTGATAGTGCTGTGAGGGTACATAAAAGGTCACAGGGATGAAAATGCCTTGCTGACAGCTCCCTCAAATAGCAGAATCACAGAACGAGACAGTATTTGTAATGAAGACATGGTTTTGACATGCTCAGTCTGTTCGTGGACACATGACACACTAACATGGGAGCTGGAAAACAGGAAGTGAGAGGAGATCAGGTTTGGATATTATAAGAACCCGAGACCAAGGTCTTCAGGTTGTCACTGTGAAAGATGCGGAGACCAGGAGAATTTGACATCCCCTTAGAAACTTCCAGCATAGAACCTTAATGCGTTCGGACAGTCACAGATGTGTCCTTGGTCACTGGAGATTCGGTGACTTTCCTCGCCTGCCGTTCAGTTGGCTAGTGTCCATCCAGTGAGACGTGAAGCATGTGGGTGACTCGGCTCGGCTCAAATCCTCAAGACCTCTCTCTCCTTAGATCTCACCAGACGGCAAGTTGGCAACAAATGCTATTACCTTCTGCTTGTTTATACCTCAGGTGATTTATCAAACCCTCCTCAATCTGTTGGCACGACCATATTAGCAGCAGTTAAATTACCATTGGACTCAGTCAGTCATGCAAGTGAGGTGGGGCAGTAGCACACCATGGGACATCCAAAAGTCTGCATATTTAAAATGGTTATTAGCTCTAAATATTGTGTCAATTTAGCACAACAATTTATAAAAATTAAAGTGTCGTCAAAAGCTAACGCATTATCCAAAATAAAGGACTAAGGCAATTCTATGTACAAATATTAACTAACTGCGAGGATTTATTTTTAGTAATATGAAAAGAAAACACAATACTGACGTCTAAAGCTATAGTCTATTGAATCATTTACTGTTGTCTGCTACAATAAATGTTTTCGATTTACACAACCGTTCAAAAGTCTGGGATCAGTACTTTTTTTTTTTTTTTTTTTAAGAAATTACCTTTTATTCAGTAAGAATTCATTAAATTGATCAAATGTGACAGTAAAGACATTTATAACGTTAAAAGTAAGTAAATGCTGTTCTTTTGAACTTTCTAATCATCAAACATGATCATGTTTTCCACAAAAATATTAACCTGCACAACTTTTCAACATAATGTGATAATGATAAGAATCATAATGAAAATGTGATGCGATAATGATAAGAAATGTTTCTCAACATATTAGTGTTTTTTCTGAAGGATCATGTTACACTGAAGACTGGCTGCTGAAAAATCAGCTTTACCATCACAGGAATAAAATATATTTTAACACATATTAAAATGAAAAACAGTCATTTTAAATTGTAATAATATTTCAGAATATTACAGTCTTACATATTACATCTATATTCATTTAATTTCATGAATTTTCAACAAATATTTATATATCAGAAAATTTATTAAACTAATGATAATTTAAACAGCATATTAATTAATTAAAATGAAATGACAGCCCTTGCTTTAACATATGATATACAGGCATATCTGTTGCCAGCAATTTTGCAGTTTCACAAGACAGATGGTCAAATCAATAGATAATAGCTCTAACTGGTCTGACGCAAAAACCAATCATGAAACATATTTTAAGAGTAATTTAAACGAGGAGTTTAATGAGAAAATAGTGGTAGAGATGCACAAGGCTGAAAATTAAGCAGAACGTTATGAAAGTTCCCAGTGGAAGCTAAATTACTGCTGAAGTATTGCGCTCTAATAACTGAATGAAGAAATTAACCCCTTTCCCATTTCTCACATGAAGCACAGAATTTCCCTATATTATATGCACCATCACTGCTTAGATGTTCAAACCACAATTACAAACACCATTGAACCATGACCAGCCAGCAAGTTCAAAGGGGTTGAAATTTCCGCACTGTCTATTTTGCAACAAATGTAGTTAAATTATGTAACATTGAGTGTATCGGTATGAGCGACACCTGTCAGTCCGATTTGAATTTCCTTAGCCATAATGTAGTATTTATATCATTGCGGTTTCATTTAAAATTCTGTTAAACTGTTTTAATTTCTCAAGGTGGCTGATATAAGAGCACTGCGGTGCTGTGTAATGAGGTATATAGGTGGGAAAGAGCACAATGTGTACTAGAATCATAACATAGTCAGGATATGGCACTATTACCAAGGGGGGAGTCCAAATGTGGCTTAACAACATAGAAATTGACTTACTGAAGAGATTTAGATTTATTAATGAAAGTCTGAAACATGGATTTTTTTTAACACTGCAGTCAGTCTTGGATAATTTGTGTTGGTGTGAAAAAGAAAAAGCTTCATTTCTGGCTCACTACAATAATATTCTCGCGGCGTCCACTGAGAGCCATTACACGTTCATATAGATTTCCAACAAAACAAGTTATTGCACTGCAGTCATTGAATATTGAAGAGATGCTGTCCTTGAGGGCTTCTTGAGTAAGGAACTGACGCGTGCAGGTTAGGCGATGTGGATCCTATGAGGCAGGTGCTAAAGTAATTACATCAAACATCTTCAAATTGCATAGCAACGTTTGCTCAACTAGCTCTGTTCCATGAATATATGGCACACATCAAGCATCTCTATATGCTGCTCTCTGTGCTTTTGTGCATTGTGCCTACCTGACATGTAAAAGCGGCCTATGTTCTTTATACCATCAGGAGATCTTCATACAGGGCCAATTTATTGATGTCAGAAGGTCTCGGTTTGCTTCTCTCATAAATTCATCATAGTTTTATTCTGTGTGCACTCAGTGCTCTTGAACTGTAAAACATGCCAACATATTTTGACAAATATTGCATCAGCTCCACAGAAGAAGCTTGGCACTTTGCAATATCTCAACTTGCATCAAATTGCAAAATAAGGATTTTACATTAAATAGAAAAAGACAGCCTCCAGGAATGAAGATAAACAAAAAAAACAAAATCACAAATGAGGTGTCTCTTTGAGAGCAATAACATTAAACTTATGGCGCTTTTCCACTGCATGGTACAGCACGGTACGGTTCACTTTTGGGGGGGGTTCCACTGGGTACAGTACCTGGTACTTTTTTTAGTACCACCTC